TGATTAACTTTCCTTTGAACAACTTGTACTGGAATTTGTTAGCTAGATTTATGTACAGTACTTGCATATGTGAAATATATTTACCAAAAGCTGTATATTTTTGGATATTTTGAGTAACATTATGGAAATGGCCTATTAATTTTAATTTTTCTCTGCTCTAATGGATTTTCTAAAGAAAAATCATCCTCGAAAGTGACAGGAAATAAAATTATTTCTTAAAACTATGTTCATTGCACCTATGTAAGTGCTTGTAACTATCTAAATGTTTTTCAAATTTTCACTGCAAGAGAGCACTTTGCCATAGCATCATCTGATTTAGGCAGGAAGCTTATTGCACAAACATTTGAAAATTGATTTGCTTCTAAATGCAAAATATTGTGGATGACAAAATACAATTAAAAGTAACCACATTCCATATCAGTAGTTTCCAAAATGGACACTACCACTCACAGAGGGTGGAGAGTAAATCTAGGAGCAAAAAAGTAGTAAGGGGGTGTTAGAGTCCTGACCAAATGGTGACAATAGGAGAGGATTTGGGTCACTGACAACCCTTCCCTTTCCTTTGTTAAAATGGGTAAGAAGAAACATTGAATTTAATAGTTTTCAGGTATGGAGAACAATGTATGGTAAGGACATAAAGTGTGAGGTTTGTAGAAAAGCTTTTCTAAGAATATTTCCAAGCCTTTCTAACACAAGGGAAAATGGATTGGGGTGTTGGGTATAAGTTTAAGGAACCAAGGGGGGCAATGGCTAAAAAAAATTTGGGAATCACCATTCCCTATGATATAAGGCTGGATCCAACTGGCTGGTTGGTTTGAGTTTATGGCACAAGAGCTATATAACTGTGCCTTGTCCAAAGGTAAAACTAAAAATATAAATTTTATATGATATTAAATATAAACTCAACAATAATAAAACAATAAATAACAAAAAAAACAACAACAGGGTATTTAAAAGTAAAAAAATAATCAAATCTCTTTGTACATAGTAACTTTCAGAAAGTTATGTCAAGATTTGGACTTTGGCCCAGAATTCCCAACAAACTTGCATTTTTAAAATGCTGTCTACGACTCCTATCAAATACAGAGCAACTGCACAGTATGTGTTTAACGTTTAAAGTACAGTTGCAATGCTGGCATCCCAGTTGGTATTCGCCCTTCAAAAGGTATTTGAGTCAGCAGAGTATGTCTGATTCTCAAATGAGTAAGAATAACTTTGATCTCATGTTGTAAACCTCATTAGGTGTCCAATTCTCTATCAAAGGCTTGGTCCCATACAGTTTATTGTAAATGTGTTTGTTCCACAAGTTCTGTTATCTCTCTGCCAGTCATTTTTTAACGACAGACTTCAAGATTGCTGCCTTCAACAGGCATTGACTTGAAGCCTGTTAAAAAACAACTGGCAGAACATGTGGCCATATTTTGGAAAGCACACCAGAACAACAATAAAAGTGTTAATATAAAAAAATTTTTTTTAAAAATATAACTGGCTTCATTTAGACAGTCTTTGAATTTGGCATCAAAAATATTACTAATTTTTTCCAAAATAAATTAGTATGCTACATCTGCCATGCATTCTAAATAGAAAAATCAGTAAAAACTTTGTTACATTAATTTTGTAGGATTAATTTACATAAAACTTTATTCAAACTGTCTACATGAATAAGTTACCGAGCACTTTAAAGAAAAATTTTCATTAAAAAATTCTGCAGGTAATATGTTATCTATGGTAAAATCAATAATTAACATTTCCTGATTAGGTACAAAAGTAATTAAACCATTTCAAAATATAAAAAGGTTTTGATTTTATCCAATCAAGAAATTTCTATCCACAAAAATTAACATGTGTATGTGACTTTCATTCATTTTTAAACAACTTAATAGATTCATTTGAGTTATTCTGTTAGTTCTATTTAAGCATCTGAACCTCCTTGCAATCTTAGATTACCATTTAAGTTGAATATAAGAAATAATTTCATCCCCTTTTGATACAACCATATCATATGACACAATACTTTACTAATTGGGGTATGCAAAAAAAAAAAAAAAAAAAATCAAAAGGTCCCAAATTCACCAGTCCCACCCAAATTCAGATTTTTGCGTGGTTGTATTGCATCAAATGCAGATGAACGGCCCTGTCACAAAGCTGTAAACACAAAAATGATTTGCACTGCAATTGTATTAAAATCACTGCTATTCTCAAAAGCTTCCAAGTGTGGCATATACTTGGGACATTTGAAGTTTATATTGGACTCTTTACAGTAAGAAGAAAGTCTACTGAACTTTAGCTACAAGGTAATGTGTTTCAAAATGTGGCAATTTAATTATCCAATAAACCATTCAACATGGAAAATCTTTGTCATTTATCTATATCAGCAAATCATCATCGCAATCATCAGTTACGACAGCAGTGCAACTTTCACAGCCGAATGGAGAGACAGAGTTTACATTAAACGACGTTTATCAACAGAACAGTCTATCAGTTGGCTGGCTGAACTGCAGTTAAAATGCATTGCAAAGATGACGATCGTCTATTTCTGACCATTCTCTAAACGAACTTCGGCAAAACATTGACTCTTACTTACTTCACTATTTTTACTACGTTTTAGGAGTCGTTCGGCCAATCGGGTTATTTGTTTGTGACGTCAGAAATAGTCGCCAGCTATATTCCGAAAGCTTCCAGAAATAAAATCTTAAGGCCATCAAAACCATTGTTCGGCAATTAATGACAATCCTTTTCCATTTCGATATTTAATTTCATCGCCAATATGGTTAAAATATGAACAAATCCATATTTAGAAAATTCGTCTTCCTTAAAAATCTATTCCGAACTATTTCAACATCTTATTACTGTCAAATTGAATAATTTTAAATATTTTATTATTAATATTACATTTTTTTTATATATATCTATAAACAGATTTCTGTAATTATTAAAATTGTCTCATTTGTTTAACAGTACAATGACTCTGAAATGCATTAACGTTTTATAACCGACACAATACTCGAATTGTAAATAAATGCATCTGATTTAAATTAATTGAAGTTTTAAGTATTCACCCATTTGAATATTGGAATTGAACATTTAAAACAAATTTAAAGTATTTAATTTTGTTGTTTTTGCTCCAAGCAATTAATTAATGAATAATTTTGTCAATTCGTACTGTTTACAACATTTATCAAAGGAACGATATCTGTTTTTATCTAAACTTTTCCGCGAACAAAGCTACCACTTGAATTGAAAAGCCCTCTAAACCTGCTGTCGAGCGAGTCTAGAAAATAGGTAAAATAACTTGTTTCTAATCGCTGTCTACATTGTGGCAGACAGGAAACGCCGTCTCTGCAATGAAATTTTTCTGAACAGCGGTCTACCCGATCTGTAAACTGCCGTCAGTCTCTAAATGTTCTCTGCAATCGGCTGTCAGAGTCTAAGTGCTATCCATAAGAAATACATTGCACACTTGGAACCTTTTGTGTGGCACTGACTTTCTGATGTCTATATCTTGAAACCCTACTGTCTATCACTAACCCCTCACATATTGATTTTGCTTAATGCAATGTCTTCCGGTCAAAATTCCAGTCATAGTTGCGACACGTAAAAGCTGAAAGTTTTTTGATGTCTTAATCACAAAAAAATTCAGTTTTAGACAAGCTTAATTAAAATGAAAATTAAACCAAAAGTATCTGAAATTATAGGTTATAGAAAACAGCTAACCTTTTTTCCACTAACAAAAACACCATAGAAAGGTCATCCTGGACAAAACTGTCAATTCATTGCATACAAAATCTAAACAAATTTTTTTTAGGACAATTTATAAGTTTAAAATTCAAAGACTTGAAGTAATGAACTTGACATCGTTAAAAGACTTGCAGTGACAAGAGTAGTTGACATCATTCAATAATAAAACTTTCCTTATGATTCCACAATAATAATTCAATTATTTCCTCTCCACTATTTTTACAATCTACACTATTAAATTATTTCTTCTAAAACCTCTCCAATTATTTTCAAGATAACTCTTGTTTTCTTTCCTCAACAAGTCAAAGTTCTCACAACAGAATAAAAGACTAACTTCAATCTATGTAGTCTTAAATTTTTACTAAATAATAAATATAACATAATCAGCTTAAATTCTTTGCAATTAAAAACAGGAAAAAATTTCTCATACTGAATTAAACTCAAATAAAAAAGAATAGTTGTTTTAACTCTTAACAATCAACCATTAACTGCACTTTTGCATAAAGTATTTTTAAGTTTTAAAATTCAACATCTTAGTGGATAGATGTCAACTCTTTTCAATACAGCTAAAATTAAGTTATTTTGTTTCCCATTTTGTTTTTTATACACATCAACTGTAATTGATGGGTACAATTTAAAAACCCACAAGTCCATTTTCATGATTTCTGCAATAACCATACCAGCTTAGATTTTGAGTTATTTTGCTTAGTAATTTCTTGACTAGAAAACATTAACTCCTACATTTAATACTCGTATTTGTAGTCATACATACATTTCATAAAAAAAAAAAAAAAAGCACCAAGTCCTTGAAATCCCAGATTATTTCTATTGGATTATATTGTTTGGCAATTGGGTTGTTTTTTTTACTATGTCTATATACTGTATCTATCATATTTTATAATGATTGTCAACACTCACAAGCATGTGTTAAAAAATATACATGTAACACATTTCCTTCTATTATAACAACAAAGTTCAATGCACTGTCAAAATGAAAAAATCTCAATGTCCACTTTTTTTCTCATATGGTATAGGTTATATTTAATTGCATAAAATTTAGGACAGATACATTCTGTGTGCATTGAATTATTTCAAATTTTCCATGTCAATTATCTGATAACAGGAACATATCATTTATTTTAAATAGAATCTTCTAATTTTTCCTTTCAAATTATCATTTTATTCTAGGCCAATTTGGATAAATTTCTCAACTTCAATTCTTTGATCGTTTATACATACTTGAAATAACTATGCTTAAAAACTTACCTGTTTAAACTGAACATTTATTTTTTACAATTACATCTGTAGTTCCTTATATATACGATTTTAATTTCAAATACACATTCAAAATTTATAAAATCCGATACTTACACGTTTCTTAAAATTAATTTAGAATAAAAAGCAATTAAATCAAGTCAAATATAAACGTTTAAAATCGACACCAACGACTACTCTTTACCAAGAAAGAATTGGCCCTGAAAAGGGCCGTTGAATAGATGAAAGAGATTTAACTCTTTTCGGTTTTCTTGGGCAGCAACACTGCTTGGATGTTAGGAAGGACACCACCTTGGGCGATGGTGACACCAGAAAGCAGTTTATTCAATTCTTCGTCATTTCTTACGGCCAATTGAAGATGTCTCGGTATGATTCTTGTCTTCTTATTGTCTCTTGCGGCATTTCCTGCCAACTCCAATACTTCAGCGGCTAGATATTCCAATACGGCAGCTAAATAGACGGGAGCACCAGCACCTACTCTCTCGGCGTAATTGCCTTTTCTCAACAGTCGATGAATTCTTCCTACGGGGAACTGCAATCCTGCACGGCTGGAACGAGTCTTGCTCTTTCCCTTAACTTTACCTCCTTTACCACGACCAGACATTTTTGAATCTCTTACGCAGTAATGACAGATCAACAACGAAATGAAAAATGATTTTTCGTATGGCGAGCAAAGTATTTATGTCTTTACATAAAACGTCGCACTCTCATTGGTTGACGTAATAACAAATAAAATTTAACTGTGTAGCCTTCAATCTTTGCGCCCATTGGTTTATCCACTGACCAATAGGAAGGAGGATTGAAAATTTTCAATCCTTAGCTTTATTGGTTATCAGATTTCAGATGGCTTGCGTTGTGTAAGAGGTTTTTTGCAATAAGTTTAACGAATTGTCTAATTTTGTAGTCGTTTTAACTTTGATAATTTCTTTTTTTACCTTTTTATTTACAATCTTAATGAAATTCCGGGTAAAATGTATTTTAAATATATCATGCTTTTAGAAATTTTTTTTGAGAGGCATAATTAAAAGACATGTTTTAAACAAAAAGAATTTTCGGGAGAAACGCATGTAAACGGAATCGTATAGAAAAAAATCATAGAACTATTTATTAATTACACCTTTTAAGCTACCATTGGTATAGCTAGTTTTCGTCGCGGAATAACATGTTGGCCGGCGAACTCATACAGAATTTACACACGTGACTGTTTATACGAGTACTTCCTGCTCTGTGAATGGTCGATCCATAAGCGAATCATAGAAAGGTAACCGTTTACACGTGGTTTACACATTTACCTCGTGCTTACTGATCAATACCAGTGATGCCAGATTGGGCTACAAGTAGCGGATTGGGCTACTTTTTAAGTGCCCTCGCTACAAAAATTTCAAATTGGGCTACACGCTACTTTTTGGGCTAGTGATAATTATCTTCAGGCTACAAATCTTAAAAATGCGCTACTTTTTTATTTTCATATATAAAATCGCAAAACACTTATTGTATTATACAAAAGTAATAAAGTTTTATTTTATTTCATTACACTTAACTATATAAATAAAGTTGCAACGTTTAACAAAGATTAAGATACTTTGCTTCCGTTTTCCATCAGTCGTTCGCTCCAGTAGACAATCCACAACTTCACAAGCACGGAGGCGACATTGCTTGTGAAATTGTGGATTGTCTACTACAAGCATTATCCTGTTGGAATTGCCAATTTTCTCTCCCAATAAGTGATCCAAAAGTTATTAAATTTTGATACAACAGTTCTTGATACAATGGAAAAGGATGGCCTTAAAACTGAAAAGAAAAGCCGCAGTCGCTAAGTCTCTAAGTTCAAAAAATGAATCGCCTCGCCTGCGAATGACTCGCTTTGATTTAGAGAAAATTGATGCAGATACACCGAATGTCCATATACAGGGTGTATCAGAATGACGTTTTAAAAATTTGGGGGATTGTAAAGGATGAAATTTTGAACGTTTTGGTATAAGGAACCTATAATCGGAAATTTGAACTAAAGTGTCTACAGCGGTAGGAAGTGCTTGACCGCCCTTCACTTTGGTAGCTACCCTTCCATCCATTGACGTCATGTTATTGCTGCGGATGAAAGACTGTAAACACACAACTACAGTGGTCTAACTGAGCCTGTGTACAGGACGTTGTGTACTCAGTGCTTGTCGTTCTTCAGGTCACCCCTTGCATCCACTGGCGTTGTGATGTAAACACACAGCTAGTCAACGTGAGTCCCTTGTGTACGCAACACCTGTAGGAACAGTTCATAAGCTTACGGAGCGCATCTTTACAGCATTTAATACCATCAGAGGGGAGCGTGGCATCTTACGGAGAGTCGGACAAAACATGGTTCGTCGTTGCACATTATGTAACGAAGTTGGTGGTCGTCACACTGAACATTTACTCTAAAGTAGTGCAGCCACTGATTCGATGTACAGTTTGATTGTACTCTACTGTTTTGTCAATAAAACTTGTCATAAATACTGTATTCTGCTGTTTCATTCAGCATACCGACCTCATAGAACGTGCAAAGTGCAGTAGAAACTTTATACGTATCTCATTTCCGGCTGTAGGTTCCTTATATCAAAACGTTCAAAATTTCATCCTCTACAATCCCCAAATTTTTAAAACGTCATTCTGATATACACTGTGTATGTATATACATATATTACAAACTTATTTCATTAGTAAAAGTGCATAGTTGCAAAATAATTCTTTTTTATTGTTTGGGCTACAAACAGTTCAAATCCGCTACTTTTGGAGCACAACCACGCTACTTTTTAACCTTCAGATCTGGCAACCCTGATCAATACAGTTTCGTTAGTTCGTTGATACGTCGTTTTGTGAAATGGAGGCATCAGCAGATAATATATGTTCGGGTTGCGAGTATAACTTCTTCGAGGCAGTGGGCTATTCGGAAGAGCGTATCAAAGAGGAATTGCTTCGCCACGGCATTTGGCGAAACAAAGTTAACTGCGGTCGGTGTGGCAATCCTCTAAACGCGCAAGTGAGCGGATTGCGTTTTCATTGCGGAAAAACAATCCGGCGGGGAAAAAAACGTCCGACGAAGTGTGATTGGAGTAGGTCGGTTTGGGCAGGCACCTTCTTAGAAAATAAGCAAATTGACTTTGTTACCCTCTGGCGATTCATTCTAACTTTGTTAATATGGAAGCCTCCGAGGACTCCTCAGATAACTCGATTTCTCGGTCTTACCCAGAAGACCATCGTTTATTGGTACTCCTTTTGCAGGGAGGTATTTATCCACGATGTGTTCTCCAAAGCGGAGAGACTCGGAGGACAAGACAGAGTTGTCGAGGTAGGAGAGGCGAAATTGAAATGTTGGAAATTCGATAAGGATAGTACGTTCGAAGGCGAATCGGTTTTTTGGGGTGTGGAGAGAGAGACTCTCCGAAACTTCTTAATATCCGTAGATACATGTGACGGCGATACCTTGCTTTCGGTGCTGAGAGAGTGGGTGGTTCCCGGGGCAACAGTTATGAGCGATTGCTGGAAGGCGTACGATTGTCTCGAAAATGAAGGCTTTCGTCGCCTGACGGTCGATTATAGCTATAACTTTGTTGATATCCGGATAGGCAGCCACCTCAATCCCACCAACAACACGTGGCGAGAAATCTGCTCGAGCATTCCCCGGAAGGGTGTCCGGAAGGACAAAACGCTCGGTTACTTGGCAGAGGGTCTTTTCAAAGCCAAATATCCGGACTTAGCAAAACGGCATCACCACTTCCTCATTGCCGCCGCTAAACTCTACCCGCCGGATTACTAGCTTCGTAGGAGTTTGCTCGCAACCACCCTTTTCGGAGTGACCATTTTTTAAAGATCTGGTGAGAGAAAAACAAATAGAGAAGTCTTGAAAATGCTAGGACATGATAGAGAATTAATGACCATCATAATGAAAAGAAAGGTTGCTTTTTATGTCACCTATTATATCAGAAAAGCCTCCAGAAAGAAGTTCTGGAAGGAAGAATAGAGAGAAAAGAAGACCAAGATTAAACTGGTCCGACAGCATCAGAGAATGGACTTTCAGGATTGTGTCAGAGAAGCATAACATAGAGAATAGTTTCATGCAATGGTAGTCAACTTCCAGAGAGGAGATGCCACATAGGATGAATGGAAGTCATCTGGAGTAAGTACTTATTTCATATTATTTATGGGGTAAAGCTTTATAAATCATACACCAACGTTTTTTCTTTTCATTTTTTTTTACAATAGAGACATACATGCTAGACATGCCCAAAACACAATATATGAGGGGAAACTCATTTAAAAAACGCTATAAACAAAAAACTCATAGGACTACTTAACGACTCTGCACCGTTCCAACCGTCATTGCTTAACCTTGTTTTCGTCGCGAAGCGGCACATCGGACGGCGGATGCGTACGAAGCGTGTGACGTGACATTTGGCGGCACTATTCGGTCACATGACTACTCATCTCTGACGTGTTTCCTGATAACTTACTCTTTTTGCAAAAGAATTCGCTGAACTTTGGAGAGATCATTCCATTTTAAATATGGATTAAAATCAACATATAACTAATAATTCTGCTCAGCTTTTAAATGGCCTAATCTCTTTCATGTCTTAAACAAAATTGAATTATATCTGTTTACATCAAGACATTAGACATCTCTTGTCGCATTTGAGTAATATATATCATCATACTATATATATCATGATAGAACTATTGTCGTTAGCGAGCGGTTTTACCTTTGTTGCTTCATATAGTCAATAATAATGGTAATTAGTTTCTAATTACAATAAAAATACAATAGTATATTACAATTTATCACGCGATATCTTTAAAGTTCAGCGAATTATTCGCAAAAAAGAGTAAGTTATCAGGAAACACGTCAGAGATACGTAGTCACGTGACCGAATAGCACCGACAAATGTCACGTCACACGCTTCGTACGCGTACGCCGTTCGACGTGCCGCTTCGCGACGAAAACAAGCTTAAGCAATGGCATTTTCGAACGGGGTACACTCTGTAAGTATTCCGACAATTTTTTTGTTTATATTGTATTTTATATCGATCATTTCCAACAAATTATATTGTGTGTTTTATATTGTATTTAATGAATGATTAGTTTTAATTAGTTAATGATTAATTAGTTTAACACGCGTTTTATATCGTATTTAATTTAAAACAAAACTTTTTAAGTTGATATATTTACATATTTGCATTAATTTTTTTTTCTTTTTTTACATTTTTTTATATAAATCGAATTTTATTTCAGAATTTTGACGATTGTTGAAAGAAGTTGACGACTGTTTGAAAGTGCAAATAATTAATTCCATAGTTGATCTAAGTACAAAATTTTTAACATTATATAGTGAATATTCATCTGGTTTGGAATTGTTTTCTACAATTAACACACTATTATCTGGAATGTTTAATTAAAAAAATTGAAAGATTAATAATTATCTCAATCGACACAAAAGAAACAACTTCTAAAACAAAAGAAACAACCTACAAAATGTTTAAGATTCTTAGAACCCAGAATAGAAGATAAATTCGAAGGAAGAAAACAACATAAAGGTAGTAAAAGTAAATTAGAAAAGGAAAAATTAAGATACCAATATAAGAGGGAACTCAAAGGTGCAGTTAAAGAGATAAGAAGTGACAATTACTTTTTAGCAAATCTTAAATTTAATGAAGAATTGGAAAGAAAAGAGAAAGAACTGTAGTGTTGTAGTGTGTTATGTGATGATATTGTTTACTCTTACTGTTATTTATTTACTTTTGAAATTGTGAAGTATCGAAAAATGTTAGTTGTTATCAGTAAATTTAAAAAAATAAACATTATTTGATAATGGACAAATATTAATATTGAATAATTGAAATTTTATTGGGAAAAATTCGTCAGAAAAAGTCAATTTATGTTGTTATAAGGACGAAGAATAATTATTATATAATTGATTACTTTTTTTAGACAATAGAAATGTTTTAATATATCTTCATTTGATTTAGAATTCTAATCAACAGAATTGATACTTTCAAAAATCAGAAATGCTAGTTTTTAATTAAATATGTTGAAATTTTTATGGCATAAATGTGCTTGTCTTGAAAACAATTTATGATTATTAAATTCATGATGGATTTTTAATTTACTTAATAAAAATAAAAAGTTATTACAATTCATTTCACGAATCTTGTCCAAGCTGTATAAATGCACAGTATCAGAGATGTATCTTTGACAGGGTCAAAGACTGTGTATTATATTATTAACATACGAAATGAAAAGTAGTAAGGGGGTGTTAGAGTCCATTTTCGCTCCTTTTGCCAGCTAAATTGTCAAAGACATTCTTATTCCACACACTAATTTCACTCTGTAAATGCATAAAAATGCATTTACAGAGCCATTTTATCGTGAAAATATCGAACAAATTTTTTTTTATTGAAGCGTTTATATTTAACTTGGGCATTGGCCGTTCTCTTTTAATAATGCTTTCTTTTTCGTTATATGATCTCGAGCCAAAACTTTTTTAAAATAAATTTTCAATATCGCAATAACATTTCGAATCGCTAGCCACGATATAAGAACTAAAATTAAAAATAAAATTATAGAAACTTACTCGGTGAAATAAAATGTGTGGTGGATATACATACCTGGTACAAAACATTCTTCAATTGTACGAACATGCTTTTAAAGAAAATTATAATTAAATATAGATTTGTAATGAAACGTACATGAAAATAACATTAAAATATTCTTTACTCTTTAAATCATAACCACTTATTCAAATAGCTCCCTACAAGTGGAATCGGAGACGGTCCCGCTAGGTGTGCGGTGCGTACTGTACATGCACGCGGGCTGCCAAATCCCGAGGGTGCCCATACTGGTCAATTTCAAATGCCTCTTGTGGCATCATTAATATACCTCAAAAGACGCGACGGGGTTCTTGTAAATTTTAAACGTTTTTCACCATAGCTGTAAAAGTCTAAATACTGTACGTTAAACTTAATAGATTGTCCGTCGTTTGTTTTCTAACTAATTCGTTTTAGGACCAGGTGTCGTCCACGGAAATTTACAACTTTTCGGTCACTGTCGTCGAACTGGAAAAATGTCTGTCTTTATTACATCTAATATTTCGAAGAAATCAGTCCCACTGTACTGGGCTAGAGATTGGTTCTGTTAAGCTTTTGTTTAAGTAATATTCCGGCTCTTTCGTCAGGGTTTTGTTGATGTCCCCAATTCCCTAATCGCTTAATTATTTAACTACTACTTAAGTAGAAATAAATCGAAACCGGTTACTTTGTACTCGAATATTTGTAGTCTCGGGAAAAAAGTGGAAAGACAAATTTTTATGACAAACGGATACATAAATCGTAAATTTAAGGAAAATAAATTCTAGAGCTTTTTCCGTACCTGGCGCATCTCTCATTCATTAAATTTAGTTGTAAATGACGCTGTCGAAGTAACAGTTAATTTTTTAACATTGTACAAGAATTGTACACGTTTTTTTCTACATTCCCTTATAGATGGGACGTACGAAATCGTAATATCACCGGTTTAACATCGAAATCCGCGAGTAATATAAAATCGGAATAAATATATCAAATATTTTAACGGATTTTTTTAAACTCCCGTCACCTATACGGAAAACTATCGTAAAAACATACGGGTAAATTCTTATCGGTCGGGTTAAGTTATAAATCTACTCGCGATTCGCGTAATCGGCACTACTGCGTGCCGGAAATCGTTGGAAAAGTCGGAAAAATAATATAGTACTTTACAACAGTGTAGTATAGAAATTTGTAATAAGATACGTAATGCGGTTATAATAAAATATTGCGCGATTATTTTCGTATAATTAAAATTAATATGTATTTATTTTTTAGTAAATACAAGAGAAGCGGCGCATCCATCGCTTCTAATGACGGCACGCCACTGTGATATACTGTATAATTTTAAATATTTTGATAAAAATAACGAACAATAGTCATCTTTTAACGCTATATTATAAATATTGACTATTAGACAAAAGACAAATTTGACGTTCAATAAACGAACAGTAGCAAATTTCGTCCGTAATAAATTAATTTTGACTGTGGTGTAAATACACGACAGTACAGTCAGAATTAGCTTCTTGACGTCACGCAGTAGCGACATCTCGTGGTAAAAAACAGAACTACGGCGACGGAATTGTGTTGTGTATAAATCCGCCAGAGAGCGGGCAAACGAGCACGTGTTTTGTTGCGAGTAAATTTCAAGTTGTTTAATTAACAATGCTGTTTCTTGTCGGTTTGGGATTAGGAAATGCGGAAGATATTACGATCAAGGGATTAGAAATAGTAAAGAAAGCTGATAGAGTGTATTTAGAAGCTTATACTTCTATTTTAACTGTAGGAAAAGAAGAATTGGTAATTATATTTATTAGTTTAAATTGGGAACGATATACATTGTGAACCTTTGTTCAAATGGCACTCACCAGCGAAATTTTAAATGTAATGATATATTTATATATTTAGTCATAAAAGTCTATACAGTCGACCCCCCATAACTGTTGATTATTCTGTTTTATATGAATTCCATATTGTACGAGTCACTTAGATTTTACAAATATATGAGCCGTTCATGTATTTGTAAAATCTAAGTGACTCGTACAACATGGAATTCATATGAAACACAATAATCAACAGTGTTATAGGGGGGTCGACGACTTATCGCAGTCAAACCCTGTTACAGTAGAACCTCGAAAACTCGGCCTAATGCGGACCGAAGGGTGGCCGAGTTTGTGAAAATGCCGGGTTATCGGGAATGGGGTTAAAAAAGGATAAGTATGCGTGTTTCCTCAGAAAATACTGTACTGTACTTGTATGTATTGTTTACTTGAGAATATAACAGAGAATAAACTGCCCAAATACCCTTAAACAAAGGAAAAGTACGTCCTTTATGAAGGCATAGAGCCTTTACTACATGAAAATGAAAATTAATGAATACACTGTGTACAGTAATTTACCTGATAAGACAGACCTCAGAAAAATACTTTATGAGAGCTTTTATACTTTTATAAAGCTGTCTATAATGAAAATTAATTAACTAAGGATTTTTTTGCCCTGCCAGGGTGTGGCCGAGTTATCCGGAGTGCCGGGTTATCGAGAGCCGAGTTTTCGAGGTTCTACTGTAATATAAAATTGAACAGACTTACAAATTGACATTTTGTATTAACAGCAGTTTTTAACATTGAAATGTGTATCGTCTGTCCTCCTGATCACAATTCTATTTTGCTTTAACATGGACTTTGCATAAACAGATAACATATGATATTAGTGGAGTTTAACTGTCAGACCTCTCAACCATCCACATAGACTGTCTGCTTTTCGAGAGTTCTGTCTGAGTGTCTTTAGCAGACATATTGACAGAACTGTCAGAACAGAATAAGTTTGGCATTTGTCCACTTTTTTGCCAATGATTCCAATTTCTGTTTTCTTACAATTATTGCTTTTTGGATAATTTTCTTTTCATGTATACAAATCCACTTATTATTATTTTTTCTTTTTGTTGTTGATTGTTGATATTCTTCAATTAAGTGTTGTATATATTTTTTTTTTTTTTTTTTTTGAGCTGTCAAAGAAATCAAAAGAAAAAAATATATGGCGGACAGACTAATGACAGTAATAAAAAAATTTTTTTATTGCCAGCTTTTAAGTGCATATACTAAATAAATTGTATTTGTTGTGTATGGTACTCATTTCTACTTTTAATTTTTGTAATATTGCATAAAATAAAAATATAATGGAAAGGGAGAACAATTTGCTGGTACAAAAATATTGGGGGGATATGTCTGCTCTGTCTCATATGAATAGGCTGACCATACATAACATTTTGAATAGGACAATATTGTTTATTTTTGTTCTGTCCTGGCTCTCCTCTCATTTTAATAAAATTTTCACTTTTGACCTATTTTTGAAAGTTAAGAAATTAGCTCTCTGGTTTGTACATTGTATTATAAATTCATGATTTATTAGAAAATGTTCATTCTGCATTGACGACACTTATAATGAATTTGAATGGATATTGCTGGGGAAGAAATGGCATGAAACATAGCTTACAGAATGGTTACAACAAATTTAAGGAACATATTACAAGAACAGAAGCAGACGAAATTCAACAATTTGATTAATGAATTAATGAATGCTAATAATGACAATAGTAACAAAACATTAGTAGAAATTGAACGAGGAAAAAATCAATGTAGCTGATAGATGGATCAAAATAATGAAATGTACAAAAAGAATCTTGATTTCCAAGATTTTAATGATTTTATAAAATTAACTATTTGTTTTTCAGGAAATACATCTTCTACAGAAAAAATATTTTCACCAATGAATTCATTTGGTCAAAAGAGAAGTTGAAATTAAACATTGAAGCCATGAAAGGAATACTAATTTTAAAGCAAAACATTTGTTAAGATTTATTGATAAAAGTTATCTTGATTGTTAATTTAACATTTAAAAACATTTTCTGTTCAAATATCGTATTTAAAATATTTAATTAAATATTTCAAATTATACAGTTTTCAAAACAAAATATTTTTAAGTTATAAAATAACATAGATAATCAGTTGTTTTATCTAACTTTATATTTAATATGGAAATTATTAAATAGTATACTTATTATATAAACATTATAATTATACAAAAGTTTTTTAAATCTTAAAATATTTCTAGGAAAAGTTTTATGGAAAAGAAATAATTTTAGCTGACAGAGAAATGGTTGAACAAGAATCAGGTATGTTTTAATAAATATTTTTAATAGACAAATAGTATTTCGAAGTCCATACCAACTTATATATAATACTAGATGTACGCATTGTCAGATGGTGTTAAAAACTTTTTATAATGCAAGTACTTTCAACAATACAAAATTTTTGTAGTGACATTCCATTTTATATTCATTAGCCTGATGATGACAATTTTGTATCCTTGAAAGTACTTATTTTATAAGAAGATTTTAATGCCACCTCACAGTGCATACATCTAGTACTAAATATTTTTATTATATTACTAAAGTTACATTAAGACAAAATAAAACTATTTAATCTAGATCTAATATCCTTTAACTAACTAAATAAGACTATTACTTTTCCAAGAGCATTTTTGCATTTTACATGGTATAAAAAAATATATGGTTAGTCAATATGTAATTTCAATGATTTCTCTAACAGTTTGTTTACAATTCAATAATAAAAAGTATAATGTGCAGTACTTTCGGCATGCATAAAAGATGCAGCTTGAAATTGTATCCATTTTTATTATGGACCACTCAGCTCAATATTGCTCACTCCACATAATCAAAGCATCACTAAGCATGACAAAAAATAATATGATGAATCATTAACAATGAATTGCGTGATAAAATGTCTGATGCAGGGGTCGGTAATCTGTGCCTCCAGAACTGCATGAAACTTTTTAAGAATGTTTTTGCAGCCCTTGACATCATTTTTTCATATGCAGAATGTCTCCATTGATTAAATAGTAAATTACTACATTTTTGAAAATTATTTACTGTAAGATATCTATATAGGCCACAGATAAAAATAACAAAATGTGATATTTTTTCATTGATGACCATTTATTTTTCTTTTGCAGAATTAGTTTCCAGGAGCTCTAATTTGAAAGCAATTACGTCTAAGAAACCTTTTTTCACTGCATATAACCATTACTACTGATCAAAAGCTTGTAAAGCAGCATAGCTGTTTAAATTCGTGGAGTTTTATGACTTAGTGACCTATCTGGATTTGATCCCAGGTCCCTCAGAGCAATAGGCTACAGTACCATCTTAATCACTGTTTTCCTAACAGTAAAATTAAAAATTGTCATAATAATTTTAGAATTTTTAAGGTTATTAAATTTTTATTACAGAGTAATAAAAAAAATATTGTGCATAATTTAGTAAAAATATTCTTGAAAATTAGTAATTTTCTTTCAACAATGTAATATATATTATGAAAAGATGGATGTCATTGAATTAATAATTTCATCAAAAATTCTAATGATCATAATATGTTCTAAAAAAATAAAAAATCATTTTAATAATTAAATATATTTCTCAAAAAAGTTTCTGGAAATAAATTTTTAATTTTCATTTTCCCACCAATAGTGTAGTTAATGTATAATTATTGATAGATCCTAATTTTAGCTCAGGAGTTAGAATTGTTGTGATCTTTCATTGCAACAGATTACAAATACATTTCTGTGATCTCTCAGCTGTATTTGCTAGAGCCCTTTGGGCATGAACCATTCTGGTAACACAGAGACTGGATGTCATTGTGGAAAATAACACATGGCAATATTTTTTGTTTTGATTATTCAAATGAGTAAGTTTACAATTAGCTTTACAGTTTCATTTGCAATGTGTATTATTTATGGCCAGTTCATATCCCAGAGTGATAAAAGTAGCACTATATGATGTGTGTAGTGCAGGGGTATTCGACCTTTTGTCTTCCTTAGGACACATTTGAATAAAAAAATTTGTTTCAGGCTACACATAAGCTATAAAACTATATATAAAGGTTACACGAGTAGATTTGCTGTTCTTAGCCGAAACAAACAATGAAATAATTTATGTAGCCAAGTTAAATTTCTGTTCAAAAAGTAGCTAATGTGTCAAATTAAAAAAAAGTTGTCCATTTTGACACAAAATAGTCAAATCTTTTCATTTGAGGTATAGTACCAGTACATAATATGCATATAGTTTATGATGACAGCCATCTTAACATTTGTCTTCAGCACTTGTGATTCTCGCTGCACTCGCACTACAGTGGCTAACTTGAAGTGGAAATAGCTTAATTGTCAAGTAACAAAGTGACTAAGCAGCTTAACTAGGAAATGTGCCCAATTTTTAAAGACTCTTTAATGGCATCTTTTGACAGTTTTTTATAATAAATATTAAAATGTGAATTTCAAAAAGTAAAAATAAGTACATAAAAATTGCAATGTTTTAAGGAAGTTGCGATTTTATGTTAGGCTGCATTCATTACATCTCTGGGCCACATGTTACCTGCAGACTGCAGGTTGGACAGCCCCGGTGTAGTGGAAACCATATGTATTTTTTAATTTACAGTAATAGTATACTTATTATATAAACATTATAATTATANCATTAAAAATATATGAATTATAAAATATTTAGACATAAAGTATAATGTTAAAACATTAATGATTTTTTTGTTTATATACAATAATATAAAATGGTAAATATTATTTATACATTAAATAAATTTATATATTCAATTAATCAAACTATTTTATTGTAAATTTTATTTTTATAATAATGAAAAGTGATATATATTGTATGTAAATAGTATTTAGTTGTTTGCAATTTATAATTCTAATTTTTTTATTGTTTATATATATATTATTTTGTTTTTCTCTTCAGATTCTATATTAGAACAAGCAAAATCATTAACTGTTGCATTTTTAGTGGTTGGAGATCCATTTGGGTAAATATGTATGATTTATATAAAATATTAAAATTTAATAATAATAATTATAAAATTACTTTTGTTATAGGTAACTTGTATTATTTTATATCAATTCAAAAAATGTTTAAAAATAATTTCAAACATTTTTTCTTGTTATATTGTAATCTTTTTCATACTTTAACACAGTCATTAAACAAAATACGTAAATGTTTTTAAAAAAGTACAGGTGCTCCCCTAATAATGAACAGATTAGGTTTCCAAGATTTTGTCTTAAGTCGAAAACTAATCTATAAAGTACTTTGGTATAGAGAAATATTACACATAACATCAACAAACAATCAAATGACATCTCTTCCTTTAAATTATGATATTCACTACTCCTACATTCTTTTTTAAACATACTTAACCTGATAATAGCAAAAGTTATCAAAACATTTGTTTCTCACTATATATTATATATTTTTTCATTTTTTTTGTTTTCTTTTCAGAATAACCACTTATTATTAATGTTTTATTCTTTACTGTACTTAATAGAATACATTACACTCATTTTCCACTTGATGCTTTTTAGTAGCAAGTGTTTCAAACATGGTTTTTTTTAATCTAACACAGTTTTATAATGTTTAGTTTAGTTTAGTTTCCATAGTAATAGAACAACTTTTTTGCATTTATCTCCACTGCTAGATTTACTTGTGTATTTTGGATGCACTAATTGTAAAAGTTTATAAAAATTGCAAACAATAGCAATAAATCCTGTTACTCTATTACTACATTACTAACTTTGACAACACATCACAAGCAGCAATGGAACTTCAGAATTCGTGTGAAAACAAAAAATGATGATCTGCATTAGAAATAAGCCCAGATTAATTATTTATTAAAAATTTATTATTTATTACTGCCAAAGACTCACTTCAATGTCACTCTACGAGCAGCGAGAGAACTTCAGAATCCACAAAATTTTTTAAATTTTAGGCATACGGTACATCAAACTATTGTCAGCTGAACATTTATAAGTAGGGGAACACCTGTATACGAAAATTAACTCAGTTATCATAAATAAACGTAACATAAATAAGCTTTGCATAATAATACATTTTTAAATATTAATTTATTTTAGGGCCACAACACATACAGATTTAGTTCTGAGAGCTGTAGAATCTAAAATTCCATATAAAGTTGTACATAATGCTTCTATATTAAATGCTGTAGGTTGCTGTGGCCTTCAGGTAACATTAAAAATTATAAATAAATTGAAAGTATTAAGTATTTTTGCAGTTAATACAGTGAAACCTTCATTCATCGCTTTTGTCAGGAGACTAAAGAAAACTATTGCTACAGGAAATATATAGATATAGGACACATACAAAATGAGAGGGGGGAAAAAAAAACAATCACATTTGCTTGTATGTATTTACTAAATCAAAAATATATATCAATGATATTTTTTCCACTGCCAAGTCAAATCTGCATTATTTCTTTTTTAAAAAGTCATTCATTTTCATTTAGTATTATTTTTCCTTTCAAATTGGTCAGATAAACTTTCAATATTCATGATGTTTGCTGTTCCAGTAATGCCATGAGCATACAAAAATACTCTCTTGGGCTTTGTTGCATTAAATGCCTAGGTAAAACTCAGCATTGATTCAGACTTAGCTTTATTGTCATCATCTTTACCACTTTTTCCTCTTTAGCTCATTATCTTACAGGTAAGACACATGCAAGGTTGCACAGCAAACTCTACAGTCTAAATTACTACTAGCAATACTGCATTTCAGAAACATTAACTGCTGTTACTAGTATCAATATGTACTAATGTTTGTGTGTGTATTGTATTTCTCTTTCTTAAAAATGATTAGTTAGAATTCATTTTTATCAGGACTAAAAATTTTGATCAATAGATGTGGGAAAATGATAAACTGAGAAATGACTGATACGGATTTAATTTCCACAGTTTAAATACAATTTGTTTAAGGATCCTAGAAATTGAAGAATGTTTCCAGGAAAGTGATATATTTGAGAAAAATGGATTGAGGTTTCACTGTATTTAATATATCAAAAAATGTATAATTGTTTATTTTACAGCTTTATAATTATGGAGAAACAGTTTCAATTGTATTTTGGACTGAAACATGGAAACCAGATAGCTTTTATGATAAAATAGAAGCCAACAGAAAAAGAGGATTACATACACTATGTCTCTTAGGTCAATATTTTAAATAATCTTTATAGTTTTAAAATTACTTAAATATCAATTTTTTTTCTTTCTTTTATTTTTAGATATTAAAATGAAAGAACAATCAATTGAAAATTTAATGAGGTATGACTATATTATAATTTGCAGTGAGTTTAAAAATAATTATCATGTTAATAAACTCTGATTTTATAATTATGAATTATTTTATATACCTATAATGAAGCTTTTTATATTAATCAAAAGCTTCATTATACAAGGTCTGTTCAAAAAGTTTCGGACCTTTGGTCGGCAAAAATAAATTTATTGACTTTGAGGTACAAAACCCTAATCCCCTTCAAAGTAGTCTCCTTGGTAATGTATACACTTCTCCCAGCGTTCCTGCCATTGCTGGAAACACTGCTGGAACGCATCTTTTGGAATGGTTATCAGCCGGTCCGTCGCATTTCGCATGATGTCTTCTCTCGACTAAATTTGGGTTCCTTTTAGCGGCATTTTCAGCTTGAGAAATAGCCAAAGGTCACACGGAGCCATGTGGAGAGAGTACGGAGCGTGACGAACCACAGGAGTATTGTGTTTGGCGACGAAAGCCCGAATCAGATGCGCAGAATGGGCGGATGCGTTATCACGATGGAGCTGCCAAGTTTTGATCGACCACAGATCCCATCGTTTGCATCGCACTGTATCGGAAAGACGACGAAGGACCTCCTGGTAGTACTCCTTTGCGATGGTTTGGCCTTGTGGTGCGTACTCACGACACACCACCCCACGAGAGTCGAAAAAACTGTCAACATGACCTTTGATGTTGCTGCGGACCTGCCACGCTTTTTTTGGCCTCGAGGATCTTCCCCGAAAGCCTGCTGAATCTTGCGAATGGTTTACGCTTGGGTATCGGCAAGGTTTTTGGCAAAATTTGATGTAATATCGCTGCTCACGTTGTTCAGTCATTTTCCAGCTTAGTGAAATCCGACGAGAGCGCACTACATGACCTCACTCATACGCCGATTGCCAACGACTGACGTTTCCTGCAGGCGGGAAAAAATTCAGGGCTGTGCATGACTGTCCCCTCCACAACTCCACCGAAGGAGGCCTCTCGCGCATCATTGGTTTACGCGGAAAAAAAAAACGGTCCGATACTTTTTGAACAGACCTTGTAGATATATTAATTATCTGTTATAGATAATTAAGTTACAAACAAAATTAATTTTATATTCATTCTTAATAGAATAATTTGTATTGTAAACAGTGGTTTTTTTCCTTACAAATTAATCAACAAATTTATATACTCTTATTTGTATGTTATGCAAAAGTCAACAAAAAAAGCAAAGATTTATAAGTGTATGTTTTGATAGAAGAAAATATTAAACTATATAAGGTTTGGTGATAAATGTAATAAGAATTTTGCTATTATATTTGCTATGTTACACAGCAGTATCAAGTTTGATAAGCAGGATTTGACAAGTTTTGCTTGCATATATGGAAACATTCTTTCATATGTTAGACACACAAAATTTTATGCTGTTTATTGTTTTGTTGTTATTTTTTGACATGCAGTTAGTTTTTGAAATGTGTTGGAAAAAATGAGTGATATGAACAAATAACTGTGATTGAATTTCTTGTGAAATTTGGCAAAAATCCATCAAATATTGCAGCAATAATGTTTGTTGAAAACACTTATATTAAAATTGAATCAAGATGGAATGAAAATCAGTTAACAACAAAAAAGATGGTTGCTGTTCACCTCTCAATCTAACAACTATTGAACATGTATGCACTGGTTTTATATGATGAGTGACTGATATTATGAATATTCTCTGCTAAGCTCTATATTAATAAAATTGTTCATCCCATACTATATAAAATTTAGCCTTGCAAATATCTCTGAAAAAAATTGTTTCCAAACTATTCACTTTGGAACAGAAGAAATCATAATCATTGATTAATTGTTTGAAGCAGATTGAAGATGAAAAAGAGAGATGATTGTTTCAGGTGAAACTTGGCTGTTATAGTATGACATGAGATTAAGAAACAGAGCAAAGAGTGGATGAAGGTGAAGTGCAACTACATAAAACTCTAATGTAAAAATGCTGATTATCTAGAAGAAGGTGTTGTTTATCAGATAGAATGCACGTGTAACAACCCTAGTTTTTACGTTGGTGAAACAAAACGAAGATTAAAGATTTGACTGTCGGAACATCTGGCTGTCGTTAGGTTAAAAATTAGTAATTCTCCTGTCTTCCAACATTGTAATAGTAATAATTGTCAGATTAATACTAATAAATTAAAAATTATTTTTAAAGAAAAAAACAATGTAAAGCAAAAGGTAAAAGAACACTTCACTATAATTATGCAGAACAATAATGTAAATTTAATTACAGGAATGTTAACAGCAGAATGCTGGGAATTTTTTGTTAACTATATAAGTGGCTCTTTAATGAGTTGACTGTCAGAACGTAAACTGTGTACTGTAAGCCCCTACTGAAGAGGCCTTTGGCGAAGTGCATTTGGGAAGCTTGTTCGTAATGTAAATAAAAGTTTTTTCTCTGCAAACTATTTTCTTTCTTTTTATACCTTTTTAACTTTTTTTTTGAAAATTTTATAGTCATTATTGGCTTAATGTTTTAAAATTTGAAGTTATATTTGAAGTTATTGTATTCTCCAAAAGTCAGAAGAGAAAGAAAAATATAATTTTTTCGTATTTTACATTTATGTAAGAAGAAAAAGGGCTGATTATCTATTTTTTTACACATCTGTGGTGCTGTGTACAAGGAATTTGCTCCAGATAGTCAAATAGACAATGAAAACTTTTATCTCAGTTTGCTGATTATTTGAAAGCATATGTCTATTTATTCCAAGTTGGTGAAAAGAAAATGGATTCTCCATCACAATAATGTGTCTGCTCATTCTTTAATTATGCATGAGTTTTTGCATCAACATTCGTTATACAGCTCAGATATCACTCTGATTAAATTTTTCTCTTTCATAATTGAAAGTCCCAATGAAAATAGATAATTTTGAGTCAGAGGATGACATCTGCCTCAAAAGCTACAGCAACTGACGGCTAAAAGAAGTCAGTTTTTCCAAAGCTATTATGTATAATGAAAAGGTATTTTGTATTCATCTAATTAATTATTCATTGCCAAACATCCTATTTTACAATGATTGATACTAGTGTTGTAACGAATAGTATATTCGGCCTCAGGCTGAATACCGAATATTCGGCCAGGAGCGTGGCCGAATAGCCGAATATTCGGCCAAACTATTCGGCTTGATTAACACACATACGAAAATTGGCGCGCAAACCGCATTATGGCAAGGATCCTGCTCTCTATTGGCCCATTGTCACTACGCTTCGCCAATCATGTTAATTCTTGGCAGTTGCAGCCGACAGACAAGAGTGTCATGGAAGTATGTGATAAAAGATGATATCAAATGACCTACACTTGTAAATAACGGAAAAAGAACAGAGAAGGACCGTGAAGTGAAAATGTGAAAATAAATATGAAATTGAGTTGATAACATAATCGAACAAGTCGAGGCAGCTTATTGGCACGAAAATTGCGCCTGTCAATGCCAAACAATTGTTGTCATAGACTTCGGAAAGCTAAATGCTTGTAATGAAAGTCACTTAGCGTGCATGGGAGAAAGCCTGGGGCCGTTCGGGCTATCAAGCTGTCTCGAATCCGTGAAATCATAACTGTGACTTATATCGACGTCCTATCTGTCTCTTTTCTCCGTTATCACCAGGCTGAGTCATGTAATTGTAAAATGGGAACTCTACGACGGAAAAGTGACGAATCGAAAGTATTGTGAGCACGTATTATGATGTATGCACAGGCATACATGGATTAGAGCGATAGAGGTAAGAGAAAGGGAAGAGCAAAGACGAGCGCTTAAAAAGAAGGATAGGCAGGGTCAGACCCTCAGATGTGCGACGATTCTCGAATAGGTGTGTATGTGTGCTGATCTTTGTAATTATAAATTGTGAATACATGTGACTAATATTATTTTCTTTTTTATTTTGTGCATGTTACAAGTTATAAATAAATATAAACAAACAACACTAACCCAGTAACATTAAATCTAAATACCAAAATGATTAATTTACTTTGTTTTTGTTATTTATTACTCCTGTTTTTAGGTATTCGGTATGCGGCCGAATAGTGATTAAATATTCGGTATTCGGCTGAATAGTGAAAAATAGGCCGAATACCGAATAGTAACCGAATATTTGTTACATCACTAATTGATACACTTAAATGTTTGCATATCATATAGTTTCACAAACATATTAATTTTAGGATATAATTATTAAATTTACTTATTTTATTGGAAAATAATTTATATTTTAAATATATTGACATAAACCATAGAAAAATCTGTATTAATAACCTCTTGCAAGTTTCTGATCAGTTAATTCATATGATTCTCTTTTTAAGCTTGAATTATTAGTAATGTGCCTTTTTTTACATTAAAATAGACATGAATTGTCTAAATGTTTTGTGAGTTTAAAAAATATTTAATCAAATGCTATGAAGTTTGCCTATTCTATATGTCAGTTCAGCAGTTTTCGATAGAGCATTTTAGACTAAATAATTAATCAACAAACTGCAAAATTTACTTTTATTTATATGAAATAAATAAAAGTAATTCTTTGTCATGCTCAACAAATAAAAGAATAATTATTTAAACTGAATAATTATCACTGGATTAAATTTGGACTCATTAATATGGTTAATTAATGATTAAATAAACTAATTTGGTCAAAAGATAGGCAATTATCAGGTTGTATAGGTGAAATTTAGAGTTTGATTTTTTCAAGAAACAACTGGAAAAAATGTTCCACAGCATTTGATATGGATATATAAGTTGAGTAGCCATTTCATGACATATTTCATTCAAAATAGACATATCAGTAATGTCTGAATATATGACTTTTGAAAGAACACATTTTTTTGCTGTTGCTCTATCACGTAAAGTGATCACAATGCAACAAAGGCTCATGATTTCATCTGCAAGGCATTTGGCGAGGACACAGTCAACAAACAGACCTGCTATAATAGGTTCAAGAATTTCAAGGATGGAGATTTCTCACTTTAAGATGAACTCATCCGGGCAGCAATTCCAGCATTGATGATGACATTTTCCTGCAACTGATAGATGATAATCATGATTGACCATCAGAGAATTAGTGCAACAACTTGAGTGTTTCCATAAACTCCAAAAATTGACAAAATCTGATACCACCATTACAACATGCCAACACCTAGAGCAAAGATGACTTTAGATAAGCTAGTCAATCTGGGCTGGAAGATTCTGCCTCAGCCCAGACTTTCTGTCAACTGATATCATCTATTTTCCACCCTGCAGAACCATATTGCCAATATACAGTTCAATTACAATATCTCTGTGAGAACACCACTATAGACTTTCTTAAAGAAAAACTCCAGTCATTGTATGCTCACAGGATTGAAAGTTTGCAGCAAAGAAGGTGAGATGTGATTGATATTGATGGTGATTACCCTACAAGACTGTACTGTAATTGTTGTTGAGTTAATTGTCAATAAAGTTTTCTTCAAAATGTCTAAATTTCACCTTTAATTTAAATATGTTAAATATTATGCTTTAAGTCCTTCTGTTTTCCATTATTAATTCCTTCATTACTAATATCTTTTAGGACTATAATATCTCTAAGTTTGACAAGCTCTAAGAATAATAGTAACAAAATAATTAATTAAATATGGGAATCTAACTGCCTACAATTTGGTCAGATTACTTTGCTTAATCATTAATTATCTATATTATAGTCTGAATGTAGGCTAGTGATAGTTATTTGTTTTAAAGTATTATTTTAGTATCTTTGATGAGTTAATTTTTTTAAGAAAGAATAATTAAGAAATTATAATAAGTTTTATTAGATATTAAAAATAGTTATAGTGAAGTTAAATTAAAAGTTTTAAGAAATAGAAACCATTTATGAAAATACTTAATTTTATTTTAGAGGTAAAAAAATATACGAACCTCCACGTTTTATGACTGTAAATCAAGCTGCTGAACAGCTACTGGAAATTATTGAAAGAAAACTAAAGGCAGGCTGCTCTGAAATGGATCTTGGTAAGTAATTGATAAGTCAAATATTTTTAATCGGTCAAATTTTAATGTTGATCTGATGATTAAATTATATAAATGTTTTTTTTTTTTGTAAAATTTTCCGCAAATTATATTTTTACTTTTTTCATCGATGTCTTATTCTCTCTAAATCCAGTATTTATAGCGATGTGATACAATTTCATAACCAGATAAAGGAATAATTTCCTGATCTGCAGTTACAGATTAGCAAATTATTCTTTCATATGGATATGGAATTACCTACTTATAACTCTGATATTGTCAGTCAAATTTAGTTATCTTCAGAAATAAATAGAAAATAAATTCAAAATGGTTTATTTGTTTAAAAACTTGTAATACATCTGAAAGTATATATAAAATAAATAATTACAAATACATGCTTTTGTTTACTTAAAAAATTATTTTTGAAAAATAAATTTTTAACATAATTTTTTAAAGCTTACGATAAAGAGACCATTTGTGTTGGCATTGCCAGATTGGGCTCAGAAAATCAGAAAATCTTAACTTTGAGTCTTGAAAATATGAAGAAAGCAGAGTTAGGTGATCCTTTACATTCACTTATCATTACAGGAAATTTACATCCATTGGAATTAGATATGTTAAAAATATTTGCTGATGATCAAAAATGGTTTGAACTTGCAGTTGAAAAATATGTACATCAATAAATTTCTATTATTTTCTATATTTAATGTATATTTTCTTTTTAAATAAATTTCTTGTATATATAGTATGATTGTGATTTATGCTAATTATGTTCCTGAAACAGATATGTAATTGAAGACTTGCACAAACTGTTACATTAAAAAAATTCAGAGAGAGATTCTGTGAATGTACTACATACATAATCATTAATTAATATACATAATCAGTTTATTTTATGTAGATAAATTAAAAGAATTTTTTAAACAATTGGCATAAAGAAGATAAAATTAAAGTTGTACAACTTTTGTAAATACTACAAGGTGTGTCAAAGTGAAGAAAAACTCAGTTGCAGTTTGTTGCCCAGTCGTGCCTCCATAGATACACCACTGCAGCAAAACAAAAAAATAAAAACAACAACAACAGACTCTACAGGAACTCTACAGAAAATATGCAAAAATTGCTATAATTTTTGGTTTTTGGGTTGATACTTGTAAATAATAATGATTTTCAAAAAGAAATCACTTATATAATGAGAAGTTATTTATTGTGAAATCATCGTAATGCCAGGCTGCGGTTTTTCTCTCCACCTTAAATTAATAGTGGTTTGTAGTGGCCCTGTACATAATACTTTTCCTTTAACAATAGAAGCATGCCCTCATCTATCTAACACCTTTCAGGGAAAATTTTTGAATTGAAATAATATGACTTCCAGTTTGCATTAGAAGCTCTTATATAGTTAATTGGGGCCGCCTGTCCCTAAGGTCCACGTATCTGGTCTCTCTCATCTTTCATCTAACTAACTCCGTTCTCAAGATTAAGGAAAGACAGACAACAGTGGAAATTTATGTCTACAATTTTTTCAAATTGCAGCCCAGTAAATAATGTAATAGAAACAAAGAACAAGCAATGAAAATATTTCATAGCAAAAAACAAAATAATGTATTGGGGGTTTGTGTGACCATGTTTAGCCATACCACTGATTTTAAATACAGTTATACAATTCATTATTCATTCTTTGCAATCTTTATTTTATGCATTATTTTTATTTTTCTGTTATATTAAAAATAAACCAAAATTTATTGCAGAATATTTAATATACAACAACAAGAAGATTTAATTTTAAATGAATTTTGAAATGCATTAAGTCATATGATATAGTGAAAACTATTTCAAATTCTTGTAAAACACATAGCAATAGACCTAAGCTATAAGCTAAATTAATCAGTCTATTTGGGAGAAATAAATGGAAATTTTGTCACAAAAAGACAAATGCCCACTTCGTGTTGTGTTGCATGTCGATGTACGAATAATAATCGAAAAGAAAATGGCAAGAAAAAGAATATCTTGCCATTTTTCTCGCATTCAAAATCCAGTTTATTATGATAATGGATTTGACTATTAAAGGAATGGCTTCAAATTAACCTATGAGAAGTACTCGTATTTATCCTACACATTTTGACAGGGAATGCTTCGTCTCATGAGCATTTGTCAAAAGGCAATTTTTGAAATACGATACAATGCAATTTTTACTAAATTAAAATTTAATAGTACAAATTAAAACGAAAAAGTATATTTTAGAAGAAAACAATGAAAAAATGGAAATTTAAAATGCCAATATTTTTAAAGTTTATAATAATTTATTTGTTTATTTACAACAAATTAAAAACTTATATAATAATATCATATCTATTTTATTTGATACATAAAAGTACATTTACAATTAAGCTATCCATTTTAAGAATGGATAGCTTAATTGTAAATGTAACCAACTACTAGTATTTTGTAGTTGGTTTACTAGTAGTTGGTTGTGACTCAATAATGGGCTGGCCTCATGGAGTTTTCTGGTTTTTCATGTCTAACACTTAGAGGCCAGTTTCCCAGAGAAAGTCCTCCAGCGAGATATTTCCATTGCAAGGAGATAAACCTGCACCATCAAATAAGCAAATCAGCTTATCACTCTTTAGCATTTAATGATGAAATGTGAGATATAGAGAGTAAGAAAACAATAATACGTAATTATTCTGTATTTGAGAATTACCATATTCAATTATAAGAATTTAGCTACTTAATAAGTTATATGAATTTTTATTTAAATTAAGCAGGATGCAGCAGATTAATCTGGCAGTTTTTAGATTAAAATAACATACAAGTTACATAATTGTGGTGAAATAATTTATCATCCTGCATTTAACATAGGATTTGTAAATAGTCACTTTGAATATTGTGTCTGTGAGATAGAGTCTGTTGTCAATGCATTCTTGCAGTCTAAAAACTGCATGTCTTTTTGCAACATTTCAGGAGGAATTGCTGCCTCTTCAACTCTGCCACTGTTCCCAGCGTGAGCCATTGCCTTATACTGTTGTCTGGTCAGTGGTGCATCCAGAGGAACCCCGGCACCCTGCAAAGAAAATGGAAAAAACTAGAAAAAGTTTCAAAAATCTTTTCCTAATTAAAGTTTAATCTTTATTTATACAGGTATACCTCAACTTACGTCGTTTCGAGTTACGTCATTCCCGATTATACGTCGTTTGTCAAAAAAGTATATGAAAAAATAAAAATCAAGTTTAAGTCATTTTATTCGACTTTACGTCTGTCCGCCACAAATACTGAAGTTGTAATATCACTAGAAAAATGTTTAAAGCACATAAAATCATATTAAAATATATACATTTACAAGTATATAGGCCCTACTGTATTTACAGTACATGCATTCGTAAATTTAGATTACTTTTTTCTGTACTATATTAAAAAGTAAAATTTATTTGTTTGTAAGCTTAAAATAGATTTTTGTTAACCATATATTATTAAAAATGCATTAATAAATAAAATACAGAACTGGGATTGGTAATTTATGGTTTAGCCTAGTGACAAGTAGATTTGGAGACAAGTAAATTCGACTTACGTCGTTTATCGACTTAAGTCGTTTTCCTGGAACCAATTACCGACGTAAGGCGAGGTATACCTGTATTATGTCGTGTCTTCTATTTCTATACATATTATTTATGAATTAGCGGTCACATAAGAAAATAATTTTATTGAATTCAGATTAAAAATTTTTTTATATGTTCAACTTGTCTCCTCCAAAATTAAATTTTAAGTACACCACTGATTCTGGCATTCAACATCATACTGGTGCAACTCCAGTTCAAGAAAGTTGTGAAACATTTCCATGTAAAAGTTGAATTTACTGTTACAGCTTTGCCTTCAAAGAATGGTCCAATCATTCCAAAATACGTTGCACTATACCAAGTAATAACGTTAACACTGTGTAAAGGATTCTCATAAAACAAAATGTGTAATTAATTTTACACTAATTTCAATTGTCACGTCCGGTGGTTTGTACCTGCCTCTGTCCCGCCAGACTGCATAAGAGCGCTCTGGCACTCCAGATTTTGTCA